AAGTGGACGCAGTTTTCGGGAAATGCACAGAGAGAGAGAGAGAGAGAGAGAGAGAGAGAGAGAGAGAGAGAGAGAGAGAGAGACTCAATGAAAAAGTGTTCAGGTGACGGTGACAGGAGTTAATCACGTACACAATAATGCGGGTGCGAGCGAAAAACGAAGCGCGAACCCGCGAGGAAGAAAAAAGCGTTACACCTGAAAGGTGCAAACACCTCTCACTGCAGGAGATAGATGAGGTCTTTGTTTCAGCACCACCCACAGTGTTGGCATATACGGGCTGGCTCGCCGACAGAACGCTTTATCTACATCAATAATGTATAGAAGATGGAACCTTTTCGCTCTGGTCCCCGCGAGGTATTCACGGTGTATTTTTGCAGGTGTCGATCAGTGCTCAAAGGACAATAAATATCGAGCATTGATTGTGGCTGACAGTGAACGCTTGTGAGCAGGCTGTGGGCCGATCGGAGGGCATTTATTCGTGATGATTGCACGGGAGCGAGGGAATAGACAGGGAGACAAAAGGAGACTCAGACAGTCTGATGAAGGGAGACTCGGGGAGAGCAAAGGGCTGGTTATTAAGGGGCTGTTTAAAAAAAAGGAGAAGTTGAAGGGGGGGGGGTGAAGGGGAGGAAAAGAGAGGGGGAACAATTGGTATACAACAACTGCTACAGGAGTCTGATGGAAAGAGACTCAAAGAGAGCAAGGGACTGATTATTAAGGGGGTCCACAAAAAGAAAACGTACTCGTATTTATTCTGTGTTGTTGTTCTGTTGTTTTTAGTTAGTTTTTTGGGGGGGGTGGGGTGGGGAAGAGGGGGAGTGAATAAATCAACTATATATATTTAATATAATTGCCACAGCAGTCTGATGAAGAGAAGATTGTAAATAGCAAAGGGCTAGTTTTGTTTATTTAAAAAAAGAAAAAGGGGTATGAGTAAAGGATTGTGCTCAACTTGATCTACTCTTTAAAAACTTGTTGAAGTGGTCTTGTATTGTTTAGAGTAGACACGAGAAATATATAACATGAGGACTCCCGTCGGTGAAAGATAAGAGAAAAGAGTTGTTTGAAAGTGTCTTATGATTATTTATATACACACTTTTTTCCACACAAAGTAATGTGATCCTATCAATTTCTGTAGTCAATACAGCTGTCCATGGCTGTCTTCACGGGTTGTAAGTTTGTTTATTTGTTTTTGGTTTTTCAGAAAGACATTTTCAGATTCAGAGTTGTGCCGTTTTTGTTTCTTGTTGGGTTTTTTCTTTCTCTTGTTTTTTCTTGTGCCTTTGTACATGTGTTTAAATAGCTTTATATTTGGTATTGTATTTAGTTGTTTCTATTTCGTTCACCAGTCTAGGGGTGGTGGAGGGTGAATAGTTGGTGAGGTCGAGTGGGGATGAGTGGAGGCTAAGAGAATAGATGGGTGAGTGCTTACAAAATAATATCATTATTGCAGTTGGACAGGTTAATGGAGACGGCAAATCCAGGATATTGTTTGTGAAGGTATTGTTTTTATTGTTTGTTCAATGCGCGAAGGTGTGAAAGGGTGAGAGGACCTTATGGGAGAAGCGGCGGAGGCTTTGAAAGAGTGGGAGGATTATGGGAAGGAGGGGAGGGGCGGGGGTGGAAGGCGATGGTTCAGAAAGAAAGAGGATGGTGGAATGCTGCATTGTGTGTGCTTTCCGAACGAGTGCTTTCAACATCTATAGTGTTTCTGCGTTGGGAAGCGTCTCTTGAATCGGCCCGTACAGTGAATCAATGATAGACAAGCGAGTGTGTTTTTACCGCTACCGAACAAGGAGTGCGCGGGGTACGCTGCTTTATTAAGGTGTTCCAGCTCAATTGATCAGACCCGGCCAGCGATTCTAACCGACACAACATTACCTTTCTACAGAAATAATTGGAGTTCATTCCGCGAGCGAGTTATGATGAGAAATAACGCGCGCATTGATCATCATCCTCATCATCATCATCATTCGTCCGTCGCGATGGGGGTTGGTGCGTCCTCCTCGGCAGGTCGGGCGCGGTGCGGTGCGTCGTTGCGGTGCGTTGCGGTGCCATGCGCGTTTTCTTTAGTCGTCATCGTCTGGTCTGTGTCTGTCTGTTCGGTCCTGTCCCCCTCCCGTTCCCGCGCGCTCGTTCGTATGGCGGATGAAAACGTCGTCGCTGAAGATTTGGTGGATCCTCACAGTCAGTGCTTACTCTCACAGGCAAAGACAACTTGTCGCGGCGGTCGCGTAGAGCGCTGATCGTGCGTGAGTGAGTGAGTGAGTGAGTGAACCGGATAATGGCTCGAACTTCTTTTACCTTGCGCGCTGGGACACTCAGGTAGGGATCCTGGGAGATGAGACGGGTCGGTTTTTTAAAATTTTGTTTTTGATTTTGTTCTTTTTGTTTTGCTTTTATAGGTTTCACCTCCCGATCTGGGTGCTGTATATCGGGTTTACGGTAGATAATATTATTATTGTTTGTTCCTTTTACTTTTATACAATATAAATATGTCATCACTTGTCGGCGAGGAATTTTTTTTCTTCTGTTTGTTTTCTTCATTCTTAAAAAAATGTACAATTATTGTTTTGGTTTCGTTTC